TTCACCGGTGACGACAGCAGTCCTGAAGTCGCTCCTTCCAGACAGACGTCGCCTCACTCTGCGCTGACATACACGGCCTGACAGGACGAATGGAAACCTTGGAGTCTGCCTCTGGTGTTTGCACTGACCAAATCACCTCACTACAGCAGGTGGTCCAGGGACTTGAGCCATTTTGTGGCCCTTGAAGACGCACACCATGCAGTAACTACCTGAAGCATGGCCGACACCATGTTGCAATATACCAGGGTTCCGTTGTTAATTCATCTGTTCTGTAGTTCTGGTTATATTGTTATCACATAATGTCAATGTGCCTATTGCACCCCTCTGAACGGATGGTCCATTGACCATATTACTTTCCCCCTCTCCCCCACCTGAACCTAGTCTAACTTGCCTCCCATGTATAATAATGCCATTGCCAGGCGTAATACCTAACAGAGAGCAAAAAAACAGAGAGAAAGAGTGACAACTCATAAGCCATGCCTCCATAGTGTCACTTTCTTTCTGGCGTTAACGGAGGTGCTACTTAGCAGCCATGTGCCGGTGTATCTGACTCCCGCGGCATGTTGAAGGACACCGGCCGCTGCGGATCCATCCAAATTTATAACCCCCCTTATGCCCACGATATTGACGACGTCGGCGTGTGTGAAAAGTATGCACATGCACGTTCTGGGGTCAAAGGCCGGGTATGGCCAATTGGATCTAAGGGAGGCTTATTTAAACTCCTTTTTTCATTTTCCTCATTACCCTCTCATGGTCTCCCTTAGTGGTTGTCCAAGAGTGTGTTCCTGAGCATTTATTTCTGGTTATTGACTTTGGCTTCATTTGACTTCCCTTTATTCTGGTATCCTTGACTTTTGGCTTTCACTCATGGATGTGTCTCATTCTGCGTCCCCGACCTCGGCAAGTATTTTGACTATTCTCTGGTACTTTAAGTCTGGCCATTCTAAGGCCCGGTAATACGTTACCTTTAGTCCTAGGTGTGATACAGTTCTGCGTGCTGGATCAACTGACACATAGCAAGCCAGTTACCTATCTCATGCTGATGAGTTGAAATAACGAAACAGCTGTCAATGAGTAGTTCACTGGCACTGCACCTCTTAGTGAGTTGTGTTTCAAAGACGTTGTATGCAGCAGGCACATACTCCAAGGAATCCATGTATAAAGTGGAATTATGAGGCAAAAATGTTCTTTGCTGAGCTCATTTGCATTGGCCTACCCAGAATCCCTTGCAGTAGTGAGAGCACTGTTAAAGTGAGATTTCTGTGAAAAAAGCAAGTCTTATGGCTTGCCTGGTGTATGTATTTGTCTGTCTTCTTCTCTTTCTCCACCTCTCACTAAAATTCTCAATCTCTCTCTCTCCTCTGGTATATTTCCATTGACCTTCAAACATGCAACTGTAACCCCAATTCTAAAGAAGCCCAATCTTGACCATAACTCCCCATCCAACTATCGTGCCTTTTGCATCCAAGATCCTTGAAAAATTGTGTATGCGAGATTGACAGACCTTCTCGAATCCAACTCTCTGCTAGACCCGCTTCAGTCTGGTTTCCGCGCTAAGCACTCTGTGGAAACGGCACTGACCAAAGTATCCAATGATCTACTCGCTGCAAAATCTCGTGGTCACTACTCTATCCTAATTCTCCTTGACCTGTCTGCGGCTTTTGACACTGTTGATCATCAACAGCTTCTTCTCATCCTCCCCAATATTGGTCTACAAGATACTTCTCTCTCCTGGTGCTCCTCCTACCTTTCCCAGCGCTCTTTCAGTGTTTCTTTCTCTGGCTCTGCTTCTCCCCAACTCCTCTCTTTTGGTGTCCCCCAAGGTTCAGTCCTTGGTCCCCTACTGTTCTCCATCTATACTGCCTCCCTTGGTAAACTCATTAGCTCCTTTGGCTTCCAATATCATTTCTATGCAGATGACACGCAAATCTACCTGTCTTCTACTGATCTCTCCCCATCCCTCTTGACTAGTGTCTCTGACTGCCTCTCTGCTGTTTCTAACTGGATGGCTGCCCACTTCCTTAAACTAAACTTGACCGAAACTGAAATTCTGGTCTTTCCTCCCTCAAGTGTTGTTACTCCTGTGTCTGTCTCCCTCCAAGTCAACGGTGCTACCATCAGCTCCACCACACAGGCTCGCTGCCTAGGTGTTCTCTTTGACTCCGACCTCTCCTTCAAGCCTCATGTTCAATCTATCGCCAAATCCTGTCATTTCCATCTAAAAAACATTGCGCGCATCCACCCCTACTTAACGCCAGATGCGACTAAGGTGTTGGTCCATTCCACTGTCCTTTCTCGCCTTGACTACTGTAATTCGCTTCTCAGTGGTCTTACGTACTCCCAACTAGCGCCGCTACAGTCCATAATGAATGCGGCGGCAAGGCTCATCTTCCTGTCCGCACGCAGTTCCCATGCCTCACCCTTCTGTCATTCCCTACATTGGCTTCCTATAAAATATAGAGCTCAATTTAAAATTCTGGTTCTTGCTTTCAAATCTCTACATAATGCTGCTCCTACCTATCTATCCTCCCTTATACACAAGTATGTCCCGTCTAGGCCCCTACGATCTGCTGAAGACTTACGTTTATCTTCTGTCCCACCTCTGATGCTCGCCTTCAAGATTTCTCGAGGGCTGCACCGTTCCTGTGGAACTCGCTTCCCTCCTCCGTTAGATGCTCACCCAGTCTCCACTCCTTCAAAAAATCGTTAAAAACCCACTTCTTCATAAAAGCGTATCCATTAAACTGTTAATAGCTCCTGACTGATTCCTCTTCAGCAACTGTCATTAGTCTAATACTATCCTTACATTTTTGTGTCATTTTACCCCACTCCCTCTAGCATGTAAGCTCATTGGGCAGGGCCCTCAACCCCTCTGTTCCTGTGTGTCCAACTTGTCTGGTTACAACTACATGTCTGTTCGTCCACCCATTGTAAAGCGCTGCGGAATTTGACGGCGCTCTATAAATATCATAATAATAATAATAATAATTTGTGTTTAACATTGCATTAAATACATATATATATATATATATATATATATATATATATATATAAAACAATCTTTGAAAAAGCTTTTCAAATGTTCGGGGGAGGACCTTGAAGAATAATGCTAATAGGGCATTATTCTCATATTTAATATATATATATATATATATATATATATAAAGGGGGGTGGGAAAACCCTTTGTCAAGAGGCTCCAGTTACTCATTGACAAGCACAGCATCACACAATTCAGTGCCCATTCCTCACAGGACTAAACCACTCTCACCCATTCCTGGTGGCTGTCTTATAAAGTTTTATTTATGGCAAGGAGATCTGCACATTGGTCCAACAGATATACTAAATAATAACTTTAATGCTGCAGATTTGTCAGATATTTGGTAGCACAATGAATGCATGAAATCATACCTTTTTGCCATGACAGAACCCTTTCAACAGCTCAGTGTAATCATACAAGACATACCAATCTTCCCAGAAATCTACTACATTGAAATCCCAATGTTTGACTCATGTTTCTGCACATTCTCTATGAACACATTTTTACAATTTTGCCAGCTGTTAAAGAAGAGGAGGGAGAATGTGGGCTTCTTATCTGTTTTCCTCCCCCACATGTTGGTCTTCCTTTTCCTTCTTCCTGACCAGTTGTCCAACAATGACAGGAACTCGAGGTCCTGAGTCAGGAGAAATGAGAATTAGTAAACACTCTTATCCCTGAGGACATGCTGCGAAAATACAAACTGGACTAGTAATACGGGGGACTCCATACAGATTAAAACAGGAGTGATGTCATCTAGGTTTATACACTTATTACGTAAAGGAAGTACATTCTTTTTCCAAATAGACAAAGGACAATACTTTCCGAGCAAGCAACGTCAAAAGGCACATCATAAGACAATGTGATGAAACAAAACAGAAAATCTACACAATATGATGTTTGCATTTATAAAATTAATTTGTCCTTGAAGAATACAGGAAATTCTGGGAGGTCAGCATGCTAAAACTCACCCAGAAGGTTTTACTTTAAGGGTCTGAGTGATGTGATGTGGACATTCAAATAAATTATATATTAAAGCATAAGAGAGTCATGACTCCATCAGTTTTTCAGATCGGTTGAAATGTGTATTTATTTGTGCTTTTTATTTACAAAAATATATTTTAGCTTTTCAATGCCATTAATACCAGTAACTTTTTTTTGACATTCTCTTTTTTTATTGAGGTATAACAAAACAAGAATATGCATGTACAGTATGACATTGTATGAGAGATAGCGGTTCATTTACGTGGCAATCATTGAATCAAGAAAAAACTCTTTTTGTTATTTTTTTTAAGCAAAAGAAAAGAAAAAAACATAAGGGAACAGATAACGATAACAGTATGCAAAATGGTAGTGGAGCCTAAAACACTGTTCCGTGTGACGAATATTCCACTTCGTAGACTTGCAAAAGGATATCTGAGATGTTCTATTTCCCTAACTATGCAAGACCTAACAGTAATGGTATAATGCATTAAAGATTACCTGGCAGTAACCCTAGCCTGGTTTCAGGGGAAAGAAGTGATTTTCTAGACGGTCGCTCACTAACCAACAATGCATCGTTATGTCTGCCAGGTATCGGGTCACGGTGGCGGGGGGAAGGTTGATGATTGTTAGAGTTGTAACCCTCTCGTGGTGGCATAGTGTGCAAGGTGAAAGGTACCCACAGTTAATCTGTATAGCTTGGTTAAATGGCGACACATAAATGAGAAACTTATGCTCTTATTTTGCTCCAGAAGCAGTGATTACTATGGATTATTTAGGTTAAGTCCTGGAAAAAGGTGTGTTTGGTGGGCTCGAAGTCAAGCAGCGTTTTGCCTTTCACAGCTGCAAAGATTTGATTTCCATCAGTTAGGGATTGGCATCGCAGGACATCTGGTGCCTGTCTGGGTTTGTTGATGCAAAGGATTCGTTCGAATACTAACTTTTTTTACCTGAGCTTGCGGCAGCAAAGTAGCAATGAAATGTCTAAAATAGTGCGGTTGTTCGCTCAGGGATGCCTCTGATATTTATATTTGCTCTGCGGCTTTGGTCCTCAACAACATCTAGCTCAGTGAGCAAAGCAGAGAGGGAGGACAGGAGTTGCAGCACTGTTTCTTTGAGGCCCTTCACCTCATGCTGTACATCTAGTATGTGCTCTTCCGAGGCTTTCACTCGATCAGTCACTGCTTGATCCTCTGTCCTCATTGGATCCATGTCAGCAGCAGACATCTGCTTCAATTCTAACAGGATGTTTTGAATATCCAGTGCGGTGGCTGGAGTCAACGCATGGGGTCTGTCTGTACTTTAGGGTGTGACTGAGGACCCGTGACTTCCCCCAAGGCTTGTTCCGAACATGTGGACCCAGTGTCTTTGTCAAGCATGGCTGCCATCTTTAGGGCCGCGGGGCACTGGAGCATTGCGCCTATGTCGTGGGTGTCTTTGCACATACCTGTTGGTACTTGCTGGGATTTCCTCCCCATTTCAATAGGGTGTGCAGGCATTCCAGTCACAGTCAGGGGAGAGGTGAGTGAGAGCCCGAGGGTTAGCAACAAGATCTCGAAGGGTGTGCGGAGTAGGCCTTAACTATGTGGTGCACCTTCGTGTCCGTCTGCAGAAATAAAAAGGAAATCAGTCGGTTGCAGACGCTGCCTGTCACGACAGTGACCCCTTCACGCAGAGAGTAACCCAGAAAGAAACGTATACCGGACCTTAGGGTGGCCGGGCTCAACGCCAGAGAAGGTCAAGGGAGCACAAAAAACGGAATACACGAGAATAACCAAACCAAAATTCGGGGAGCCATAGAGGAGAGTAGTCAGTAAGGAAGCCAAGGGTCAATATACCAGAAAAACAGACAAATATACCAAGAGCACTAGAGGGACCAAATAATGAACCACACTAGGGCGCTGGGGGAAGGACAGGGGCGCCCTTATATAGTGAGGAGTGTTTTGCTTTAAAGCCACACCCCCAAAAGGTCTGGGAGTGTGGCCACGTTCGAATTTTCGTGGCAAAATCCCGATGACGTCGGCGCGCATGCACCGCGTCATAAGAGGGGTTTTGCTGCGAACAGCTAACGTCAGACAGGCTGCGCCGCCTCCCGGAAGCAGCCAGGGAGACCGCCGCGCTGCGTGGGTCCGGAGGAGAAAGGTAAGGTATCGTCACAGTAGCCTCCCCTCGAGAACCGCCCCCAGGGCGGGGAGGACTCGGCTTGTGAGAATGACGCCTAGCAAATGAACGAACTAGGCGAGGATCATGTACATCTGAGGCATCCCGCCACGACCGTTCCTCGGGGCCGAACCCTTTCCAATCCAATAGATACTGGAGACGACCTCTAGAAACATGATTTCACTTTGTATTCGTTTTGGCCTTCTACGAGTGATGAAGGAGGTCTTGTGGGTATTCGAGTATAACGATTACAAATCAAAGGTTTAAGGAGAGAAACATGAAAAGAATTGTGTATCTTCATTTTAGCCGGCAAATGCAGGCGGTAACAGACTGGATTAATGCGTTTGAGGATTTTAAAAGGACAAATAAAACGTGGAGCGAATTTCATATTGCGTGTACTCAACCACACTCTATCCCCTACCATAAAATTCGGAGAGTTTTTTCGTCAAGATACGTTTGACCCCTATCCAAGTTTCTTTCATATTCTTAATAGTGTAGTCAACTCTTGGCACTGCAGTGGATGAAAAGGAACTCGGAAGAGTAATAGGGTCAAAGCCATAATTTATATAAAAGGGACTATGCTGTCTAGATTCGTGAACCCCGTTATTGTGGGCAAATTCAGCCCAAGGAAGTAACTCCATCCAATCATCTTGTGATCGGAGGTGAAGCAGCGAATGTATTATTCGAGTGATTGATTCATCCTTTCTGTAACCCCGTTAGATTGGGGATGATACGAAGAGGAGAGATTAAGCTTGATACCCAATTGATTACAAAATGCTTTCCAAAACCTGGAAATAAATTGTGGACCTCTGTCTGAAACTATATCCACGGGTATACCGTGTAAACGAACCACCTCCCTTATGAACACCGTGGCCAGTTCGGAGGACGAAGGCAATTTAATTAAAGGGACAAGATGGTTCATCTTGGAAAATCTGTCTATGATAGTCAGGATTACCCGGTGGTTTTTGGAAAGTGGTAGGTCCACTATGAAATCCATGGTGATACTAGACCAGGGCTTATCGGGAATAGGCAATGGCATGAGGAGGCCTAAAGGACGACCCTTAGGAGATTTATTAGAGGAACAGATGTTACAGGCTAAAACAAATTCTCAAACATCCTTCTTGTAAGATGGCCACCAGAATTGTTTTTCGAGTAATGATTCTGTTTTATGGATACCGGGATGACCGGCAATCTTAGAGTTGTGTACCAAGGACAGGATTTGTCTCCTATAATTTAAAGGTACTTATAATTTTCCCTTAGGGATAGTCACGGAGTTGTGATCCTGGTATTTGGATAATACCTCCATTAAACTAGAAGAGACTTTAGCATTAACTGTAGCTACGATGTGTGAGGTAGGAATTATAGAGGATAAATGGGTTACGGGAGGAGAAAGATGTTCATGTTGTCGGGATAGGGCATCAACTTTGGTATTCTTAGATCCGGGTCTATACGTCACAATGTAGTTAAAGCGTGTTAAAAACAAAGACCAACAAATCTGCCTGTCAGACATTCTTTTCGCCTCTCCAAAATATGAAAGGTTTTTGTGGTCAGTAAGAATGGTGATCGGTTCAGATGACCCCTCTAATAGATGACGCCATTCCTTGAGTGCAGAAACAATAGCCAACAGTTCCCTATCTCCTATATCAGATCTTCGTTCCGTTTCAGTCAGTTTTTTAGAGAAATAGCCACAGGGATGTAGGGGTTGATCATTCGAGGATCTCTGAGATAATACAGCCCCTATCCCTGTCTCTGAGGCATCTACTTCTAATAGAAAGGGACACGAAGGATTAGGATGACTTAATACTGGGGCTGAAGAAAAAGCTATCTTTAGTTTCTCAAAGGCTTCCTTAGCTTCGGGACTCCACACCATATGATTCCTATTCCTATACACGACAGTGACCCCTTCACGCCGAGAGTAACCTAGAAAGAGACGTATACCGGACCTTAGGGTGGCCGGGCTCAACGCCAGAGAATAGTCAAAAGAATAGCCAAAGGTCAAGGGAGCACAGAAAACGACAATAACCAAGCCAAAATTCGGGGAGCCAGGAGGAGAGTAGTCAGTAAGGAAGCCAAGGGTCAATATACCAGAAAAACAGACAAATATACCAAGAGCACTAGAGGGACCAAATAATGAACCACACTAGGGCGCTGGGGGAAGGACAGGGGCGCCCTTATATAGTGAGGAGTGTTTTGCTTTAAAGCCACGCCCCCAAAAGGTCCGGGAGCGTGGCCACGTTTGAATTTTCGCGGCAAAATCCCGATGACGTCGTCGCACATGCGCCGCATCATAAGAGGGGTTTTGCCGCGAGCGGCTAGCGTCCGACAGGCTGCGCGCCTCCCGGAAGCAGCCAGGGAGACCGCCGCGCTGCGCGGGTCCGGAGGAGAAAGGTAAGGTTTCGTCACACTGCCATCTTATCAGGGCAGTAAGCCTTATGCTCTTATTTTGCTCCAGAAGCAGTGATTACTGTGGATTCTTTGTCGGCTTGTCGGAGCACCCGAGAATGGCGTTCGCACAGCTTCGTTGCTAAGTTCCACCCCCAAAAAACATCTTTATTTACGTTTTTCAGTTCAGCGTTAAAAATTATCCTTCTTTGAACTTGGCATGTGTTTTCATAGTATAGCAATCTGTAGTGTATTTCATTGGAATGGTTTTGTAGTTTATCAACCTTGTATTCATCTTGTACTCACATATGCATCCACCTATTATCAGCAAAAATCAGCATGGTTTTATGAAGCACAGGTCATGTCAAACTAACTTGATTGCGTTCTACGAAGAAGTAAGTAGAAGTATAGATCAGGGTGTTGCCGTGGATGTGATCTTTTTGGATTTTGCCAAGGCATTTGATACAGTTCCACACAATAGATTAGTGTTCAAACTCAAGGAAATCGGTCTAGATGAAAATGCTTGTTCTTGGGTAGAACATTGGCTTAAAAACAGAGTACAAAGAGTTGTCATTAATGGTAAATTTTCAAGCTGGACAGAGGTGGCAAGTGGTGTCCCTCAGGGGTCTGTTCTGGGACCCCTTCTATTTAACATGTTTATAAATGATCTTGAAGACCGCATTGAAAGTCATGTTTCAGTGTTTGCAGATGACACAAAACTTTGTAAAACAATACAATGTGAGCAAGATATTACTTTGCTGCAGAGGGATTTAGATAGACTGGGAGACTGGGCACTCAAATGGCAGATGAAATTTAATGTTGAAAAATGCAAAGTTATGCACTTCGGCGTAAAGAATACACAAGCAACGTATACCCTTAATGGAAGCGAATTAGGGATAACAACACATGAAAAGGACTTGGGAATTGTTATAGACAACAAACTATGCAACAATGTGCAATGTCAATCAGCAGTGGCCAAGGCCAGTAAGGTATTGTCATGCATGAAAAAGGGCATTCATTCTCGGGACAAGAATATAATTTTGCCTCTTTATAAATCACTGGTAAGACCCCATATTGAATATGCTGTGCAATTTTGGGCACCTGTTCTAAAGAAGGATATTATGGCACTAGAAAAAGTGCAGAGGCGGGCTACAAAATTAATAAAAGGAATGGAACATATCGGCTATGAAGAAAGGTTAACAAATTTAAACCTATTTAGTTTAGAAAAACGTCGCCTGAGAGGGGATATGATAACATTATACAAATATATTCGGGCCAATACAAACCATTGTGTGGAAATCTATTCACAAACCGGACTTTACATAGGACACGAGGCCATGCGTTTAGACTGGAAGAAAGAAGATTTCGTCTAAGGCAAAGGAAAGGTTTTTTTACTGTAAGAACAATCAGGATGTGGAATTCTCTGCCTGAGGAAGTGGTTTTATCAGAGTCCATACAGATGTTCAAACGGCTACTAGATGCATACTTGCAAGAACAGAATATTCAAGGATATAATCTTTCAATGTAGGGTAATAACTGCTTGATCCAAGGATAAATCTGACTGCCATTCTGGGGTCAAGAAGGAATTTTTTTCCTAGCTTGTTGCAAAATTGTGCTTCAAACTGGGTTTTTTTGCCTTCTTTTGGATCAACAGCAAAAAACAAATGTGAGGAAGGCTGAACTTG